TTCCACCCTTAGTCTGGGCTGAGTAAAGTTCATTAAGCACCTTTCCAAAAAAGTCATGTTACTTAAAACATCAAATCCAGGCGCTCAAAAGCCACAGGGGATCTTCTGCCACCTTAAGTAGCTGGTGAGACATGGGAATCTGAACACAACCCAAATAGCCTGAGATATATCTTATACGTGACGTGGATTTAAGAGAAGGGAAAAAAATATATTAGCACACAAAATATTAAGTCATTCATATTTTCTGCAATTAATTTATCTGTCATCAATAGACTCATAAACTATTTGACTTTATGACAGCTTGGAAAGAGAAGATGCCAGCTTTTCCTGCAGGTGTGCATCTGGTTGGGAAGACATCAGCAACTGTACGTGCAGGGAGGGAGGATGATTGGAGGGAGACAGAGGGGTTGTGAAATAAGATGGGAGTGAAAGGGTTGGCAAAAATGCTGGCTAGCTGCATTTGTCCTCCCTGGAGATGGGAAAGAAAGGATTTGCAAAGCCCTGGCTTCGAGCAGCGTTCCCAAAGTAGGTTGAGAGCCCCTCACTGTGCAGTTTTATTGATCTGGCTTCAGGCAGTGAACACATAAAAAGAGCCCAGGGCACTGTAGAAATGGTTCAGCACATTTCCTGTATTCAGTGTGATACTTAAGATACAGGGACAGACATCAGGTGCTTACACACTGGTGTGATCATAAATCCTACTGACTTCACTGGGATGTTGTTTCCTTTGTGGCCTTTGCACATTTGCTCTTCAGAGCTTCTCCATGCTGACCACATTTAATGGCTATGAACTACGAGGCTTTGGGGCTTGGAGGATTGGGAAAATGATCCAAGTCAAGACGGATCTGATGGGTGCTTTAAGGGTCAAGCAGGGGTGGGCAAGAAGGTGTTTTCCAGTTAAAAGTATCTGTAAAGGCAATTCAGTGCCTTTGTGGGATCTCCTGGGAGAAATGTTGCTTGACCTCATTTTCTCCTTACATTGAAGTTAATTAATAGTCAGAAAGGTTCTGGTGGTCACACTGGGTTCACATACTTCCCTCATTCCTAGGAGGCAAGTTGTGGGATTGTGGCAATTTTGCCTCTCTGGTAATTTTGGTTCCAAATAAGCACCTGCTGAATTCAGGGGTTTTTGTTTGTTTTTTGGGGGGTTTGTTTATTTACAAAACTGGTGTTTGGATGAAGCTGATGCTCAAAAGATTGAAACAGTTTTGCATTTAAATGGTAAAAAGCTGTTCTTTGCTCACCTAGTGCAAAAGGGGGAAAAAGCAAAGCCATTACAGCCATGGAAAGGAATAAGTGGGGTGGAAATGTGGAAAAGCCCAGATTTGAAAGTTCTGTCAAGAGGAAAAGTGGATAATGAGTCTCAAGCACTAAGGAAAAGCTAGTACTGAGTGGAGTTCTGGTTGCCTTTTGGCAGAAAATGAAGAGGGAAGGTAAAAGCTGGGGACACTATTGTAGTTTGGGTACCAGAATGCGAAAGCAGGAAAAATCTGCAGTAGGACACAAAGAAATTAAGATTTGGGCTTGTTAAATAATGATGCTTTGTTTGTATTGAATCCCAAGAAAAGCTGAAGGTGCTTTAAAATGAAGTATTTCAGTCTGCCCAGTCTTTTGACAAGGACCTGGAGTGACAAGACAAGGGGGAGGGTTTCAAACTGACAGAGCATAAGTTTAGGTTGGATATTGGGGGGAACTTCTTCCCTGTGAGGGGGGTGAGGCCCTGCACAGGTTGCCCAGAGAAGCTGTGGCTGCTCCATCCCTGGAAGTGTCCAAGGCCAGGTTGGACGGGGCTTGGAGCAACCTGGGCTGGTGGAAGATGTCCCTGCCCATGGCAGGGGGTGGAATGAGATGGGCTTTAAGGTTCCTTCCAACTCAAACCATTCTGGGATTCCATGTTTTATGTGTTGCAGACATGTTGCCTCCTCACAAACCTTGTGAAGCTTTAATGTCATGTGTTAAGTGAGTTTCTGTCCTTCTGGACTAGAAAGGAGGCAGGAAACCATCTGGACACCTGCTGCACTCTAGTCCAGCTTTGTCTCCATGTGTTCCCATGTGTGATGCCATCTCAGTTCCTACCACAGCACACGGGGACATCTAATGGACTGTAATATATTACAGATGGGGAAGGGCCTTGATTTGAAGCCATGTGAGGACACTGAGGGCACTTGGTGTGTTCAGCTGGAGAAGAGACTGAGGGGAGACCTCACTGCAGTTCCAACTGCCTGGGCAGGGGCAGAGGAGGGGCAGGGACTGAGCTCTGCTCTGGGGAGACCAGGGACAGCACCCAGGGAATGGCTGGAGCTGTGTCAGGGCAGGCTCAGGTTGGATCTCAGGCAAAGGTTCTTCCCCCAGAGGCTGTTTGGGCACTGCCCAGGCTCCCCAGGGCAGTGGGCACAGCCCCAAGGCTGCCAGAGCTCCAGGAGGGTTTGGATGATCCTCTGGGGCACAGGGGGTGAGCCCTGGGGCTGGGCCTGTGCAGGGCTGAGGGTTGGATTGGATGGTCCTTGTGGGTCCCTTCCAACTCAGCACATTCTGGGATTCTGTGATAATGTGATGCAGGATGTTGTGCCGAGCAGGGACCTGGAGCAGCCACCTCTGGAAGAGTTTCAGCTATTGGCAGTGTGTCCTGGGAAGTGCTGGTGTGTCCCAGGAGCTGCAGCCTGGCAGTGCAAACAAGGTGTGACCTCCCTGCCAGGTACAGTGAGAGGCTCCTGACAGATAACATGTTTGTCACTGATTCACCCACCTCGAAACTCCAGAGACAAACACCTCCTGGGGTGTAGAGGCTCCAGATCAAACACCTGGGAGATGTTGCCCCTTCTTTGTGATTTTAATACTTGACTAAACTAAATCCAGCAATGGGAGGTGGGTTAGAAGGGAGATATGGAGTTGAATCCTCGATGCTTTGGGCAAAACCCAGGTGGGATGAGTGTCCAAGGCCAGGTTGGACGGGGCTTGGAGCAACCTGGGCTAGTGGAAGGTGTCCCTGCCCCCCTGCAGGGGGTGGAACTGGATGGGCTTTAAGGTCCCTTCCAACTCAAACAATTCCATGACACATGAACATTCCCATCTCCAGCAAACCCTTGCTTCCTTCAGCCCACTCAGCTCCAAAGGCACATCACACCCCTGAAAAGGACTTAAATAAAAACAGAGGGAAAGGGGAAGAGTGAAGAACCAACACAAGAAATTTCTCTCCACAAATAGGGAAACATCTTGAACGTGCCACTGGCGTGTTGCTGCAGACAGCTTAAGCCCAGAGAAAATTCTTTGGCAGTGACATCAATTCAGCAATAAGTAATGCATTTTCTAGGGCTGAGATTCAATTTAAGGTTTCTCCAGTGAGTGGAATGATTGAATGGTACTTAAAAAACATCCAACAAATGAGATTCCTTTTGTTAAGCTCTCGTCAGCCCATAAGTTAAAAGTGGGGGGGTTTATCCCCTTTTTTCCACTTGAACTGTGGTTTATGTGCTGAAGTCTGTTAGAACTGCCTTGAACTTGGCTTTCTGTAGAAATCACCCCCCTTCCACCAAAGGCAGAAGCTGAAAATAATTGGTTTTAGTGCTGAGTGACCCATCCAAGGCTCTGAGGATGTTTATCCTCTCCACACTCACCCCTTCTTACCTACAAGCTGGCACCCAGCAGAAACCACAGATTCACTGAACACCAAGAAAAGGACAATTTTGGGCTGTGAATCCTTGAGAAATATGGCACAGAACAATTTTTTTTTTTTCCTGGAAAATTTTCAGCAGTCAGTGTTTTACAACCTCCCCAAACCGAAATCTGCTCACAGAGCTCTGGGTTTAATAACCCCCAGCAAATCTCTCCTTCAGATATTGTCACATTTTTTTCCACTATAATTAAAAAAAAA